CTGGTAAAAATCTAAGAAATTGGCTTGATTGTTTACCATTCTTGAATTTGCTTATAACCGTGTACCCTACTCGGATACTAAACTTTCACCTTTTGAGATTGTGTATGGATTTAGGCCAATTCCTCCATTAGATATTGATACGTGTCGCGATTAAATTAAAAATAAAACATAAATTTAGGAAATATCATAATTATTAAAAATTAAAATATAACTATTTTAATATCTAAAAAATAAATATATGAAATAAAAATTATGCATTTCAACTAAAAAAGGAAAACAGTTTAAAAAAAAGTCAAGACTAATCCTAAAAGAAAAAAGAAAATTATTACTCACATATTTATAAATACATAAAAACATTTATAATTTTTATAATTTTTATAGGTTGATTCTTCTCTTAAACTCGAATCAATTGGATAAGATGAAAAACTAATGAAGCGATAGAAAATAATCAGAATTGCGGAAGCAAAATGAAGGAGAAAGCCAATTTTGCTCTGATACCATTTTACCAAATGAGATTCTCGATGAGAGTTTGATAGAGAAAAATTATATTTGTAAAAAATATAAAAATAAATACAAAATGAAAGAGAAAACCATTTTCTTTATTTAGTTTTATTATACGTGGTTTTGTGAAAATATTCTCAATCTTATATTATTTATGTTCACATTGATCTAATTTTGTTTTCTACTTTTTCATATTCATTCATATTTGTTTTCAATCTTACCTTTTTAAAGTTCACAATGATATAATTTTGTTTTTTACTATTTCATGTTAGTTATATTTGCGAAAAATATAAAAGTAAACATGGAACAAAGGAGAAAGCCAGTTTCTTCAATCAGTTCTATTATAAGTAGTTTTGCAAAAATGTTTTCAATTTTAATTTTTAATATTCACAATGATCTAATTTTGTTTTTTACTTTTTTATATTCAGTTTCTTTTTAACGGGTTATTCAATAGTTAATATAAATCAGTGTATATAGGGATCACAGTTTTAGTTAAAATAACTGAAATATATGTGAGTCAATTAATCAAAATTTAGCACATGTAATAACACATTTTAACAAACAAAAATGAATACAGAAATAAATATAATTAAAACTATTCATTTTTATTTTCAATTTAGTATTTACAAGTTTTAAAATAGTTTTCAAACCTGTGTGTATAGACGGGTCATATAAAATCTCTTATAATTTTATTAGGCTGATTTTAATTTTAGACTCGAATTAAACGAATAAAATGAGAAACTGATGAATAGATGAAAAACAATCAGAATTGCAATTTTTCTTTGAAATATGTAGCAAATTTTATATGTTAGTAATTTATGTGATCGTGACACATATCAAATTTTTTGATTAAGATTTTGATACGTGTCGCGATTAAATTAAAAATAAAACATAAATTTATAAAATATCATAATTATTAAAAAAATATGAATAACATGTATAATATCTAAATAATGAATATATTAAAAAATTATGTATTTCAACTAAAAGGTAAAAACAGTTTAAAAAAAAATAAAAGGCTAATCCTAAAAGAAAAAAAGATATTATTACTCACATCTTTATAAATACATAAAAAACAATTGTAATTTTTCTAGGCTGATTCTTCTTTTAAACTTGAATCAATTGGATAAGATGAAAAATAAATGAAATGATAAAATATAACCAGAATTGCAGAAGTAAAGTGAAGGAGAATGCCAATTTTGTTCTGATACTATTTTACCAAATGAGATTCCAGAAGAGAGTTTGTTAGAGAAAAATCATATTTGTAAAAAATATAAAAGTAAATACAGAATGAAAGAGCAATCCATTTTGTTTAGTCAGTTTTATTATAAGTGGTTTTGCAAAAATGTTCTCAATCTTATATTTTTATATTCACAATGATCGAACTTTGTTTATACTTTTTCATGTTCATTCATATTTGTGAAAGAAAAAAAACATAGAATGAAGGAGAAAGCCAATTTCTTTAATCAGTGTTATTATAAGTGGTTTTATGAAAGTGTTCTCAATCTTACCTTTTTAATGTTCATAATGATCTAATTTTGTTTTTTTTTTTACTTTTTTATGTTAGTCACATTTGTGAAAAATATAAAAGCAAACATGGAAAAAAGGATAAAGTCAGTTTTTTCAATCAGTTCTATTATAAGTGGTTCTCAATCTTAATTTTTAGTGTTCACAATGATCTAATTTTTTTTTTACTTTTTTCATATTCAGTTTTTTTAACAGATTATGTAATTGTTAATATAAATCAGTGTATATAGAAATCACAATCTAAGTTAAAATATGTGAGTCAATTAATCAAAATTTACCACGTGTAATAACACATTTTAACTAACAAAAAATTGAATATGAATACAGAAATAAATACAATTAAAGTCATTTATTTTATTTTTTAATTTATTATTTACAACTTTTAAAATAATTTTTAAACCCGTGTATACACACGGATCCTAATCTAGTTTCATATAAATTTAAACTAATAGTAATTCACAAAATTCAATTAATTTTCTTAAAGTTTACAATTCTTTATCATCTATATATATAAAGTAAGTTTTTCTCTCTTCTGGTGCTGCCACCTCAGTAATCTCTTCATTAATTATTTTTTATTTAAATTCTTTTAAAACACAAAATAACATTAACATTCAATATAAGAAAATTGTAAATATTCAAAGGTAATTATAATACACAAAATATTAATATTCAATATAAAATTACAAAAATAAATAGACAATTATAATATGTTGTCAGAAAATAAAATAAAATAAAACTAAAAAATAATTACATTAGCTCTAAATATTTTAATATTCAAGGCTGATTTCTGCAAGTGTATGATGGAATTGGTAATTAAAAAGACGAAAAAATATAAATTAACATTAACATTCAATATAAAAAATAACAAACATAAAAACACAATTATAATGTATTGTCAGAAAATAAAAACCAATCAAATACAAAATAACAAAACAAAAAAATAATAATATACATTAGCTCTAAGTATTTTATGATTGAAAATGAAACTTTACGAGTGTGTGACGAGAATTGGTAACTAAAAAAACAGAAAATAATAAAAAAATAATAAAAAATAATATTAAAATTTAATATAAAAAATAGCAAACATATGAAATAAGTTTTTCTCTCTTTTGGTGCTGCAACATCAACAACCACTTCATTAATTAATTTCATTTAATTTCTTTTAAGATGCAAAATAACTTAACATTCAATATAAAAAGAGCAAAATATTTATAATACACAAAATATTAGCATTCAATATTAAAAACAATTATAATATGTTGTCAGAAAATAAGAAAAAATAACACAAAAAAATAATTGTATACATTAGCTCTGAGTATTTCAAAATTTACTGTAGAAATTTACGAGTGTGAGATAGGAATTGATAATAAGAAAAACGGAAAACAATAAAAGTTAACATTAATATAAAAAATAACAAACATATAACGACAATTGTAATGTGTTATCAGAAAATAAAAATCAACAAAATACAAAATAACAAAACAAAAAATAAGGTATACAATAGCTCTGAGTATTTCATGATTCAAAATGGGAATTTACAAGTGTGTGACGTGAATTGGTAATTAAAAAAAAAATTAACATTCAATATAAAAAATAGCAAACATAAAAACACAAACAATGTGTTGTCAGAAAATAAAAGAAATCAACAAAGTACTATAAAAAATAATGATATACATTAGCTATGAGTAAATCAAGATTCAAGGCAGAAATTTACGAGTATGTTATGGGAATTTGTTATTAGAAAGACGAAAAATATTTTAAAAAATAGTATTAACATTCAATATAAAAAGTAGGAAACATAAAAAAGACAATTACAATATGTTTTCATAAAAAAAATACAATATAAAAAACTAATAAATAATGATATATATTAGTTCTGTTTATTTCAAGATTCAATGCAGAAATTTACGAGTGTCTAAAGAGCATTGACAATTAGAAAGACAGAAAACAATAAAAACTAATATTAACGTTCAATATAAAAATAGCAAACATAAAAAGTTAAACTATAATGTGTTGTTAGAAAATAAAAAATCATCAAGTTCCAAAATAAAATAAAAACTAAAAATAATAATATACATTAGCTTTGGGTATTTCAAAATTCAAGGTGGAAATTTACGAGTGTGTGATAGAAATTAGTAATTAAAAAGACGGAAAACGATTTCCAAAAAAAATCCAATAAAAATGGAATTGATAATTCGGGTAACGAGACAGGTTCGAGAAATTTCATTATCTAAAATCTATTGACAAATTCTCAATAATTTGGATGAAAGTCAACTTCAAAATAAATATTTTGGGAAAATTTAGAAAAATCGAAGAAATTTTAGAACATTATATAATTTTAAGAATTTTAACTCTCAAATGGATATTTCAGATATTTAATATCATATATGTTCTATTTTCTTATTTGTTTGAATTAACCAAATAATTTTGAATAGATAACAAACACAATATAAAATAATAAACAAATCATAAAATCTTCAGAGCTATATGATACAATGAATATAATATAAAATTTACATAAAATGATTATCAAATTCGCTATGTTGAGTAGATCACAAACTAGAGTTTCAAAAAATGGAAAATTCGAGTCATGTACAGGTAAAAAATAGAAATTCATCTTAAAATTTTCAAGGATATACGATACAACAAATATAATACCAAAAATGTATAAAAATAATTCACATAGCCGCGCATAGCGCGGATCCCCAACTAGTGACTAATAAAGTATAGAAAAGAATCAACAATTAAATTCAAAAAATCTTGCTGTTAGAAAAAGAGGAAGTACCAATCATTTATTGGCATTGATTTATCTTTCCTTCTCATCTTTTTCGTCTAATTCCTCTTCTTACCCTAAAAATCTATATATACTAGTCAAAGCCTAGGTGAGTTGTTTCGAAACGTGTACGCAAATCAATGATAAGTTGACAAATATTGAAAGCTATGTTTACAGGTCAATAACACAACTAATTGAGTTTCTAAGCAAAACATTTTGGAAGCAACAATAAACTAATAACAAATACAAAATCCAATTCCTAATCTTTGGTTTCAAGATTTAATCAAACTGTCAAGATCCAAACAACAGAGAACCATAGCTAAAGTGGGAAACTTGCTATAAGAGCAGGTAGCGAAACAGATATATCTACAAAAGAAAACTAAAGTCGAATCTGAGTCATGGTTTAAAAAAAAAAAAAAACTACAAATTAAGACCAATCTTGATTTTTATTATTATATCAAGCAGAGGGCATTGAAGTAGATATCACGACATAGGATAGGTACTGAAGTCCTTCCTGTATCTTTGTGATAGCTGTGGTTTGGTCAGACCGAAGACTATCGTTGAAGGTGTTCGCTTTTTCCTCCATGGTCGATGTTTTCAGAAGCTCGTCTTTCGATTCATCATCATCAGCAGAAGCTCCTTTGATCGCAGCTGAGTATGTTTCAGATACATCTGATATACCTGCAAAAGAGTAAACTCAAATGAGAAATGCAATAGAGCAGTCATATAAGCCGAAGTAAGATTGAGAAACTGTGGACCAAACCTGTTATGAAACTGTTGGAAACTGCTTCAACATATCCAGCCATTGATTCTGCTTTGCCTCTGATCAGCTTAGCTTTCTCAGTAGGATCCTCAGGCCAGTCGATTTTCAAAGCCTCGGTGTCTTCATCCTGAACTTTGTTGGCGTGGGAGATCATGGACTTACCGAGAATAAGCAGGTGAGTGACTGCGAAACAGCACATCTCTGAAACTCTCTGCAGAAAGAGATTTCATATTTAGAGCAAATGGTAATAGAATGAATAATCTTCAATGTTTTAAGAGAAGTAAGGGAACACTCTTCGCACGTGAACTCCTTCTGAGTGAAGAGATTCAAGCCTGCCACCAGTTCGCTGGATCATATCGTTTATGTTTACTCCAGTTAAAGCGTTTGTGAACCTGCAAAATGTTACAAGTGACAAACAGATCAAAGAAATATAATCCACACTCATTTATCAAACAGGGGATTGCATTTGGTTATTGATATGAAGGCGAAAACAACTGATTCCTATGACATTGCTGGGCATTCACGGGACATATTGTGGTAATTTTGATGAGAAAAGACACACAAAGAAGAGCAATGGAGAAAATAAACATTGTAGAAACTAAAGAGACGGAGAGGGGAATACTAATCATGCTTACCCAGCAGCCATATCAGCAGCTTTGCTGACACTCGAGTTATGCAGATTCTTCATGTCATCATCATTGCCTTCAGTTTCTACATCTATCTTCTTCCCTTTGCCCGAGTCTGCTTTGCTTCCACTCATTTCATCAGTGAAGCTGAAAAGTTGCTGGATCTGTTTGAGCTTCCCGTCATACAACATTTTCTCATCTGGTGACAGTTTCCCCTTTCTCCTGTTGAACAACAGAGTATAGTGGCTTGACAATGCTTCCAATTCCTGAAATCACCATACATCAAGATATTTAGGAAAAACGATACCGATTATTTATAAATATATACATCTGAAGGTCATTTACAAAGATAAGTAGGTGGTCACCTCAAGCTGTTCAGGACCACCATAAATGTAGAAGCATCGATCAAATGTTACTTCCTCAATGATTTGATCTTTATCCCTCTTCTCATTTCCAAGACCAGTCTCTGTAATCAGTAAATCCATAGTCTCCTTGCCCACAAACTCAAGAACTTGCATTCCTTTGGCAGTTAATGCTTTTCCCGTCTGCAGATCACAAGTAGGGGATAGATGATACGTTTAAGTTAAAGAGAGGTAGAAGAAGACACAAACATCACAAACCTCTAATAGAGACGGTGCACCAGATCCAGCTTCCCTAGGCGAAGAACCTTGCTGGACACTGTTTTCAAGCCTACACGATTAAAAATGGAGTATCAACAACTGACATTCTCCCTAAAGAAAACTGGTCCCTGCTAAAGAAACAAAAGACCTAAGGATTCGTTAAGCTACCACATCTAACCAGTTGCCAGAAAATAATGTATTCTTATATTCAGCAAATGACACATAATGGCCTGCCCAAAGATCATGCAAATATACCAGAAGAAGAATCCATTAAATTATATAAATTGAGAATGTTCATGGTGTTATTTTGTCATCCAAGTATTAAATGTTTAGTGCATCCGGCAATTAAAGTAATTAATTTCCGGTGCAGACTTTCCATAAAAAGATCCACAGAGCATTGGTAAATCCTTTAAGTTACAACACTCTAACTAAAAGACTTATTGCCCTTTTTGCCAAACTTAGTGCGTTTAACAATTTCCATCCACAAAGTTTGAAACCAGTCAAGATTAAAGCTTTCAGTGAAACAAAAGGAAAATGAAAAATAACATACTTTTGCACCAAATTAGTTCCGCCTTTTAACGCATTTCCTAGTGCCAGCCAAGCTCCAGAAGTGAAACTCTCAACTGAATCATCGAAAACCTTCAAACCCTGGAAAAGGTAAGATCCACAAACAATGTAAATTTCAAGGTATACAAAAAATGAAGAATTGCGACAACAAAGCTCTGTGTAGCAAAGAGCAGTATCGCATTTCCAACATTATTGCAATGAACATTGACAAAAGAAACAAAACTTGCCTGGCTAAGAAGTGACTCTTCACTTGCACCCTCTAGTTTCTGGAGAGCTGACTTCTTTAACTTCTCATTCTCATCATCACTATCCTGCTCCGTATCAGGTTCTTCAGTTTTCTCTTCTTCCTTGGCAGAAGATTCCGAGTCCTCATCAGCTTCTTGCATATCTGCAATGTTTTTCGCTGCTTTCTCTGCCACTGCTGCAGCCTACAGGGGAAAATCAGAGATCATCATCATCACTCGACAGTGAATGCTTAAATTAGTAAACATTCATGATCATTTTCGCAGAAACCATTTAGTTTACGAACTACACAATGCAGAATACACTAAATCGCTATCATTTGATAGCATAAAATCGGATCCGATATTTAGGGCATTTTCAGAAAACACTAATTCATCATACAAGTACGTCCAAATTGGAGTCGGGACATTACATTACGAGATATATCTTCCGCAGCTTTTTGAAGATCCGAGAGTACAGAGAAGCCAGAAAAACCCCAGCCCCATCCACCGCCGGTATTCTTCGGTGGCGCCTCCGCGTCTTCCGATGTCGATTTCTCAGTTTCGGTTTCTTCAACTGGGGATGATGATTTCCCCTCCTGCATTTGTTTCTCGTCTTCCATTGTCGTTGTCAATCTCGGGATCGAATTAGGGTTTCCAGAAATCTCTCTTGATTAGGGATTTACAAGAAATGAGATAAGCGATTAGGGTTCCGAAGATTTCGAGGAAGGGGAAGCAAATGAATGAAATAGGATCAAGGTCCGACGAATCAAACTGAATTTCAGTTAGATGAATTCTCAGGCTTGATGCTTATGCTTCGTCGTGCAGTAAACGCATCCCTCAGGGTACGTCGTCGTTTTCAAACTACCGTTTCAATTAAAACATTTCCTTCGTTGGCCCAATATCTTTTTCGTTGGCCCAATATCGATATGAGTGATTTGGACTGTATTTTCAAATTTGATAGTCACTTACAAAGGTTTACTAAACATGGGTTTTTAAAGTAAAAACTACCTGCATGGAATAGAAGTGGGTATGCGAAAGCTGAAGCGTTTGGAAGCGTTGAAGTGATTTTTTAAAAAAAAAGAAAAAGTAGATACATATTGGAAGCTGATATATTATGATTTTACTGATTTCTACTGATTTTCAAAGGTTTTTATCGAGTCTTTTTAGTGTTTTTTAGAGTCTTTACATGTCAAAACACGCTTGAATGGATTCTAAGGCATTGCAAATGAAGAAATGAATAAAATGAGGAAACTCAGTCATTTCCGGAGTGCAGATCGATCGGTCTTTTATTGGATCGATCGATCCAAAGGAAGCGAGGAGACAAGAATTTTCCCGAGACTATTTAGATCGATCGATCCTTCCGATGGCCGAGGTTTTCTCCGAGAAAAGGTTGAATTTTTCCCGAGACATTTTAGATCGATCAATCCACGAGGGATCGATTGATCCGAGAGACCAAAAATTTTCCCGAGAGTATTTCGATCGATCCAACCCAAGATCGATCGATCTGATGTCTTAGCCAACCGGTTTGATCGCGCAAAATAATAAAGAAACTTTGGTTTTTCCTATTTCGACTTGGTTTTCTATAATTTCTCATCTGGCTCGTGTCTAGACCTATAAAGACTTGTTTTGCAGTCATTGTTTATGCTACCTTTTAATATTCTATTGAGACTTTGAGCTTTTTGTAATTTGTGAGTTTTGGGGAGAAGATCTTTCTACTCTGCATCTCTGAGAAGATTTCTGAACCCCAGTTGATTTATATTCTATTTATTATTATGAAATTCTTTTCATCTCTTTGCTGTCCTTCTTCTTCCATGTCTGAGTAATCCACCGGTTAGGTTTAGGATTTCAATAGGATTATGAATCATTGAATCATACATAGATAGGGATTTTTCATATGTTGTCTTCATTTATCGTTGATCTCATTGCTGAAACTTGATTAGCTACCTAGTTTCTGATCTTAGGTTATTTAGCACACCAAAAGTGTTTGTTTAAAAGCCTGAAAGAACATAGATTAAAGCTGATGTTAAGGCAATCTGTGAACAAATCGAACCTGATCGCTAATGCTTGTTTACAATTCTAAAATCAAACAACAGTTTATAATCTTAGGTTGCTAGATAAAGTCTTTGATACCACGATAGTGGATTAGTTATACATTCATGTTTGAGTTCAAGACTGTGCTTATTTGTTCCCTGAATAATTATCTGGTTCATGATCTCTGATTCCTACGAATTTCCCTTGACCTAACGCTTGTTTTAATTGATCTTTTACCGAATTTATTTGCTATTTTCGTTTTACATTACAACCAACAACCATATTCTTGTCTTAGCTTAGTTTCATTCATTAAGATTTGTAGTGTGACACGTGGTCCTTGTGGATTCAATCCCTACCTTACTACAACATTTGTTGTGCACTTGCAGTAGTTCTATAGGGTTAAAACTCTGTGTATCAAGTTTTTGGCGCCATTTCCGGGGACCAATAGCGTTACCTGTGAATCTAGGACTGAAGTTTGGTCTAAGGTTTACTAACTAGTTTCTTCTTTCACTTTTGTGGATTCAGGTGCATGCATAGAAGAAGTAAATATTATGATAACCTCCTTCATCTAAACAACCAGGAACTTGCAAGAGTAGAAAGGACTAACAACAAAGGAAGGAAAAAGAAATTGAACCAAGTCATGATGGGTGATAATGTCAACAACCAAGATCTACCGGAAGATCAAGCTAACCGATCTACAGAGCTCCAACGTATGCAACAGGAGCTGAAGAGGTTGTTGCAACAACAACAGCAGCATCAAGAGCAGCAAGCTATTGAGGATGTGGACACACCTCACACCTTTTATAAGAACAGATCTGTCATATGCACACCAGCTATTGAAAGAGCAGATTACAAGATAAAGCCCCAGATGATTGCATTGGTGAAGCAGCATGTTTTTCATGGCCTCTATGTTGAGCTTCCAATGGATCACATTGAGAATTTGTAAGAGATCTGCAGTACAACATAATTAAATGGAGTACCTGCTGACTTCCTCAAATGCAAGCTCTTTCCATTCTCTTTGGCTGACAAAGCACAGAGATGGCTAAAATCCCTTCCTCCTAGATCTTTGACAAATTGGAGTCAATGCAGGGCAGCATTCCTGGACCACTTCTACACTAAGTCCAAAACTGCTGCTTTGAAGATCAAGATCACCACCTTTCAGCAACATTCAAGGGAATCCTTCTGTGAAGCATGGGAGAGGTTTAAGGAGTATCGCAGAGCGTGCCCTCACCATGGGTATTCAGATAAGCAGTTTCTTAGCATCTTCTATGATGGAGTCGAATGGGAGTTTAAAAACAATCTCAATGCTGCAAGCAATGGGGATTTCATGACCAGGAGTACTCAGAAGGCATATGAGCTGATAGAGAACTTGGCTTCAAGTTCTAATAATCGATGTCCTGAGTATTGCAGGTCAAGAAGAGTTAGTAGTGTGGAATCTCAGAAGATAGATGAGCTAACTGCTCAAATAAGTCTTTTGATGAAGGCAACTCGGAAGGGAGGACAGAATTGTGAAAATGGATCTGATGTCTTTCTTTGTTAAGAGTTTGCAGAGGAAGGGAACAATGAGCTGCAGGAAGTTAGCTATGTGAATGGCCAACCATTTGTGCATAATAGGGGGTTTAATCAGAACTACAGAAACCATCCAAATCCACAGATGGTCAACCAGACGCACAACAGATGGTCAACCAGACGTCCCAGTTTCAAGAAAAAATGCCAAATGCTGGCGTCACTGGTAACTCTCAGGGATTTTCAGGACAGACAGGAATGCAAAACCAGGGATTTTAGAAGAATTTCTCTCCAGGGTTCCAAGGAAATCAAGGTTTTATGCAAAACCAGGGCCATAACAGATTTCAGAGTGGATTCCAGCAGAAACAACCATTCAACTTCCAGCCTACAGCACCAGCGCCCTTCCAAGCCTCTACAAGCTCTGCGGGTAGTTCTCAGGATGAACTCAAAACTCTTATGCAATAACTCTTGGTCAATCAGCAGAAATCTTCCCATGAGATTAACACCAAGGTTGACAACATGTACAATGACCTGAATGGCAAATATGAAGCTTTGAACACTCATGTGAAGAAGCTAGATACTCAGGTAGCTCAAACTGTTGAGGCAATTAAGAGACCACACGGTTTTCTTGCAGGGAAAGGTGAACAAAATCCTAAAGAGTTTGTGAATGTCATTTAACTCAGAAGTGGAAAGGTACTAGGACATGTGGCTCAAAGAGGAGATGTAGCTGATGTTTTGATTGATCTAGAAGGGAGAAAGGCACCAGAATTTGAGAAGGACAAAGATGCTACAGATGGACACACTGAAGAAGAGAAGGACCTGCTGCCACCAGCCAGAGTCTATATCCCAAAGGTTCCTTACCCTACTCCTCCAAAGAAGTCTAGGAAGAACTTGGACGAGGCAAAATTGAAGGAGATTCTAAAAGATCTTATTGTGAAGCTTCCTCTTGCTGATGCAATCCAGATGATGCCTGCAATGAAGAAATATATGAAGAGCTTGGTAACAAGCAAGATGACTGGAGAGGAAGACGTCATCAAAGTGACAAAGGATTGCAGTGCTGTTCTCCAAAACAAAATGCCTAAGAAGCTGGATGATCCTGAGCGTTTTGTTCTCTCAATGCAGATTAGAGCAATGACTTTTGCTTGTTCTTTATGTGATCTAGGTTCAAGTGTCAACTTGATGCCATATTCAGTGGCTAAAAGACTTGGATTCACAAAGTTTAAACCAACAAAGACCTCCTTAGTTTTTGCTGATAGATCTGTAAAGCTGCCAGTTGGAATCCTTGAAAATCTGCATGTGAAGGTTGGCAATGCATATGTGCCTGCAGATTTCGTGGTCCTTGAGCTAGATGAAGAACCAAAGAACCCCGTCATCCTAGGAAGACCTTTTCTATGCACTAATGGAGCCATAATAGATGTCAGAAGTGGGAGGATAGACCTCCATCTTGGAGGCATCATCCTAAAGTTTGAAATGGATGAAATGCTGAAGAAACTTATGCTTGGTAGACAAACCTTCTCAGTAGATGACTCTCTAGAAATTTCTGAGGATGCTGCTGTAGAACTTCTGGTACAAGACCTATTGGAGATTGCCTTGACACAAGTTGCAAGTGAACATGGATTTTTGAACCAAGAGGCAGCTGAATATGCAAGTATGATGGACTCCAACAAACCATAGACAAAATGGTCGCCCACATCAGTCTAGATGGGGCTGAATGTGAACATCCAGCAGGGACCCAACCAGAGCCACAAGCATCCATGTGGAGTGAGCTGAAATCTCCAAAAGTTGAGCTCAAAACACTTCCTGAAGGGCTAAGGTACGCCTTTCTTGGTCCTAACTCTACTTATCCTGTCATCATCAATGCTAAACTGAACAATGCTGAAACTGCTTTGCTTTTTTGTGAACTTAAAAAGTATCGCAGAGCCATAGGCTATTCATTAGATGATATCACAGGGATTTCACTTGATCTTTGCATGCATAGGATACATCTAGAAGATGAATCAATGACTTCTATAGAACATCAGAGGAGGTTAAACCCAAATCTAAAAGATGTTGTTAAGAAGGAGATAATGAAACTTTTAGAAGCAGGAGTGATCTATGCTATTTTTGATAGTAGTTGGGTTAGTCATATCCATGTAGTGCCAAAGAAAGGTGGTGTGACAGTTGTTAAGAATGATAAAAATGAGTTGATTCCAACTAGAGCTGTTACAGGGCATAGGATGTGCATAGATTATCCGAAGTTGAATGCTGCAACTCGTAAAGATCATTTCCCTTTGCCTTTCATTGATCAAATGCTTGAAAGATTGG